TGTAAGCCAAAAGCTGGGAAGTGCTTTTTTTGTTGTGTTTGCAAACAGAGCCTAACTCTAGCTTTGTGCCTTTGTGAGTTTGTGTAACCGTCCACTTTTATCTTCATAATTCTGCTCAACAATCAATGATCTTATCCGCATTTATGATGGATTTATTGGACGCGAGAATATGACTTATCGTAACGTTCAGCTTCTGCTGATTATCTCCTCCTTGATATTATCTTGCAATCTTTAATTAATATCTATAATCTATATAATATAATAAATCAAACTTTGGTAGTCCTATGGAGAAATTGTTGACATGTGGCAACACCCTTTATCTTAAAATTTGACATGTGTCAACACTATAATAACTTTTTACTCCCTATTGATATATAACATTAATGTATTGAGTGCATAACAACACAACATAAACACACGTACATGGCATCCAATATGCATGCGTGCAATGTTTATAAGAATTTAAAAGGTTAAAAAGAAAGTCTATTCAACTTCTTAAACTCCGTGTACAAGAAAAATCTATTCAACTTCTAATCATTCATATAATAAAACAAACTTGGATAGAGTCTTATGGAGAAATTGTTGACATGTGGCAACACCCTTTATCTTAAATTTTGACATGTGTCAACACTATAATAAAGTTTTACTCTCTATTGATATATAACATTAATGTATTGAGTGCATAACAACACAACATAAACACACGTACATGGCCTTCATGTGTGCAATGTTTATAAGAATTTAAAAGATTAAAATTAAAGAAAGTCTATTAAACTCCATGTACAAGAAAAATCTATTCAACTTCTAATCATTTATAACTACATATTACATAGCCACTATCACTATTTTATTACCTTTACATTACACACAATTATATGTGTAAAGTTGGGTGAAAAATAATGTTATATACGTAGTATAATTTTAAAACATATATATAGAACTATGAGTTTTACATTTAGTAATTATAAGTCTATGATTCAATATATAAAAAATATAATTTCAAAACCGTAAATCTATTAATCTTTTTAGTACTTCATGCTAAGAATGTTTTAATTTGTACTAATATTTTCCAAACTGCTTCGGTCTTTGTAATTTAGGTTTGGCCTGTTTAAATATGATCTTCTCAAATATGTTTATGTTTGATTTCATTTTTTTAAAATTTTGGTCAAGACGGGATTAAAGCTACTTTAAGTGAAAACATCTTACTTGAAAAATACTGACATGATTGGAAAATATTGCCGCTAATAATAGTAAATATTGTTGTGTTTAATGTGTAGTAATGCAACTATTTGATAGTAATGACTACAAGATGACAGTAAATACTGTCATGTTACTCATATTTTCGAGGGGAAACATAGTAGTCCCATTTTCAAATTCCAAAAACTTATTTATTCATATTTCGAGAACTTTCCAATAACTTTACATATATATATACATACTACAGTAAAAACAATTCCCCATCGAAGTGTTGTTAACAATTATATTCTTACACATAATACAATCCACGGAGTATAAATGAAAGGCCAAATGAAATGAGTATTGAATTTATCATCCACCTCCAATTACTTTTAAAGTTTTCGATCAACACTCCTAATAACAAATAAAAATTAAAGAGAAAATATTGGAATAGACTCTTTTACATCATTTGATATCATATACTAAAGAACATTATATAAGTAAGTTTACCTTACAAGCACAATGATTTCAGACATTTAATTTTAACCTACTATATTGGAGGTCACTTTTTTTTACAAAAATAAGGTAATGGAGAAATTTTATACAAATTCATATAAATTTAAAATACAAAGTAACAGAAATACAAACAATAGTAAATGTATCAAATCGGCGCACTTTATGTCCAGGACTCCTTCTAATGTTGATTTCCTGATATTTTATTTTAATTATCAGCTTCCTATCTTGGTCCGTAGAGCTCTTATTGATGATAAACTTAGTTTATCTTATTTTAGATTTTATGTGTAATTCTTTGTCTTTTTTTTAATTAGGGAGGTTTTGGTTTGGTCCCCCTCTCTTTATTTTTAACTCTATTCTTAATGCGGTGGTTTGCCTTCCGGGATAGAAAAAAAATAGTAAACGTATGAAAATAGACAAAATAATTTATAACATTAAAAATAATAAATAATAAATAAAAATATCAAAAAAAATGAAAATGTAAAAAAATATAAAATCAAAATGTGACCCTTTTAAAATATATACTCCATATAATATTTAAATAGAGATAGTTAAAAAATGTTTATTTATTTATATATAAATATAAATATAATCATCTTTTATTGTTATTTATATAAATACAAATACACAATGTTTATTCTTATTAAATCGATATAGTTAAAAGTAAAAACTTTTACCGGTCTGTACTTTAAAATCTAAAATACTTTGGAACACAAAATAATACGGAGTAACAAAAATGAAATATATACGAAGTAGTTATCAGTTATCACACAATTTAGAACGCGAAATCAAGATTATGTACTTCGTAAAAAAGTCAACACGTTTTTGCCAAATTTAGTCCTTCGGCTATTGTGCGAATGACACTTTTGGTACCCGTCTTTGAAACTTTTCATATAGAGTCATTCAACTTTCATAAAAGTGAAACTTTTGGTCTTTCAACTATTATAATAGTGACATTTGTAGTCCTCTACTTATTGTGACAAAATCATAGTTGAAGGACTAAAAGTATCAATTTCATAATACTTAAAAGAGTAAATGTGAGGAATTTTGAAGTTGGGGGTAAAAGTGTCTCTCGCATAATATATAGTCGAAAAACCAAAATGGAAAAATTGAAAGTCGTGCACCAAAAGTGTCACTGAAACAATAGTCAGGGTACTGAAAGCTGCAAAAACTCAAAAGTCAACTAATAAGGTTGATAAAGTAAAAACAGGGTTACCAAACGCGGTCAAAATATATGGACTATTTTTGGCTTCTTAAAGTAAACACACATTGCTATTTAATTCATATCCCAAACTTGAATACAAACTGCAAACTCATTTACTATGTTTTTTATTTTTATTATTATTTTTTTCCCTCCGGAAGGCAAACCACCAAAATCAGTGGGGTAAATGTTGGAGTACATTTACCAAATTTTATTAAGGTTGCAAATAAAACGAGAGGGGGACCAGACCAAAACCTCTTTGTATTAATGGTAAACTACAAACTCATTTACCGTGTTTTTTATTATTAAACTAATTTTACTCTTAAATTAGATCAAATCATATAATATAAAACCAAATCAAACTTAAACAAATTAGGCCATATCACTCATAACTAAAAAATTAAGTGGAGAATACCATAAAATTTGAATTTAATTGCAAATATATATTCCTACTCAATTTTTATTGGATGTTGTAGCAGTTTTCTATTTTTTTTCATGACTATGCACCTCTATTTCATTATTTTTCTACCACTTCTTTTCCATATGTCCCAGTATGTCTATCTCATAAGGAATATATATTCTAAATAATTATTCTTTTATTATTATTACTATACCAATTTAACATCAATCGCAAAAATTCAATTTTCTTGATCAAATCATCACATTCTTAATAAATTCAGTATAACTCATTGGGTGTTCAGTTCGTATACAATTTCATACCCTTACTATCTTATTCTTTCTATATTTTTTCTTTTATACTTTTTACATAAAAAAACTTCAACGCATATATTACCGTCATATAAAGTAACGAGGTGTGGCACCTTGCTTTTCTCTCTAATAATTAGATATTTAATTCTTCATGCCCATTAAAAAATAAGGGTTACATGAATATTCTATAATGATATAAATTCTATAATAATATAAAGTGACATGGTGTGGTACCTTGCTCTCCCCTTCAATTAGACATTTAATGTTTCATACCCATTAAAAATAAGGGTTACATGAATATTGGAGTAATTGAAATATTTTCAATTCAAAAAAATAATAATGATAATCTATCTATAATCTATAATAAAAAAATATAAAGTAACAAGGTGTGGCATCTTGCTTTTGCCTCCAATTAGACATTTAATGCTTCATATCCATTAAAAAAAAATAAGAGTTACATGAATATTGGAATAATTGGAATATTTTCAATTCAAAATCTATCTATCTATAATAATATAAATCTATAATAATATTAAGTAACAAGGTGTAGCGCCTTGCTTTTCCCTCCAATTAGACATTTAATGTTTCATACTCATTAAAAAAATAAGAGTTACATGAATATCTATCTACAATAATATAAAGTAACAAGGTGTGACACCTTGTTTTTCACTCCAATTAGACATTATTTAATGTTTCATATGCATTAAAAAATAAGAGTTACTCCGTACATGAATATTGGAGTAATTGGAATATCTATCTATAATAATATAGAGTAACAAGGTGTGACACCCTGCAAAAATAGAGATTATAAATTGTATGTAGTATTGTACTACTTAAAAAATAGGATTTTCTTTTCCTCTATTCTTCATCTTATGTTTTTTTTGCTTTTCTTGTGTCTACCTTCGCCTTCTTCCCCTGCTTCTTCCAAATTCCTCCCCCACGGACCCACACAAGAGAGACTCTTTAAAAATTCCTTTCCCATTCTTTTATCTAGTGTCGCCTGTTGTGCCTATCATTCATTAAATTGATTTAAATCATTATATCATTTTTAATTTAGATTTAAATAATTTAAATGTATCATTTTGATTGATCCATGTGGACAAAGGTATAGCATACCATAGAATCTACCTACGGAGTATAATTTTTTATTATAGCAATATAGCATGATATTTTACAATCATGTGACTTTTTATTTATTAGAAGTGTTTTATATAGATCGATTAATTATCTTAGATCATAAATCAAAGAGATTTCGATTACTTTTTTTAGTCCAAGTCCTGACTTTAACTCTATTAAATTAGATATTGCTTATCGAAGGCCTCTTAGAATAACTTTGTGAAGATAGCTCCTTCATATATACAAGAATCTTAGCTTTTTTTTTCTAATAGAGTTATTACTTCGTATTAATTATAACTTCACAAATTCTAATACAATACTACGTACGTAGTATGATGTTGAGAGCAAAAATAGGCCGCAACCATACATGGCACCATTAATGATGATACGAGTACTATTACTGTTATTATTATTCTCTTGCGATCGCTCCGCAGCCCAGCCGCCACCGCTGCCGCCGTCATCGGCTCCAATAATATCTTCATGCCATGTAAACTTTATCAACGCCTCTTGCTATAATGTCTCCACGCACAAACCATTGTGCGTGCAATCTCTGACCCCTTTCGCCGACTACATCGGCGGAAGCAAGCGGCGCATAGCGCTGGTGGCGCTATGCCTGAGCCGAGCCAAGGCTCGGGACGCCGTGAGCTTCGTCGTGGCCAAGCTGAAGGCGCCAGGAAGAAACCTCACAAGGATGGAGTTCGGCGCAATGAGGGACTGTCAAGAGGAAATGAGGGGCTTGGATGAGGAGCTGAGGCCGTCCATCACGGAGCTCGGGCAGGCCAGGACGGGCAGCCCGGATGCGTTCGCGGGCCACATGCGGAACGTGCAGACGTGGGTCAGCGCGGCGTTGACCGATATTGACACGTGCTTTGAGGGGCTGCCCCGGGGGTCGGAGTTGAGGGTCGAGGTAGAAGGCGCGGTTACGTGTGTTTATGACCTGATTAGCAACGCGCTTGCCTTGATTAATGACTTTGCTGCTTCCAGAACTCATGCAAATCCCTGCAAAAAGCCACCCCATCTCCTTACTCGGCCTTAGCTCACCTCACCCCCTGCAAAAATCGTTACAAATTAAATGGCCAAACTCCCGAAATAGGAATAAGAATGTTTGAGAGTTTCAAAATAGGACTGTCATGTTTTTCTTCTCTAAATATGAGTAATTATTGTCAAGTTTGGATTATACTTTTATGTTTGAAGTCTGGTACTATCAAAACATGATAGCCATTACTCATATTTAGCGAATAGAAACATGATAGTCCTATTTTGGAATTTTTAAACGTTTTTAGGTCTATTTAGAACAATATTCAAAATTATATTTTTACTTGATATGTATATACCTTACAATCTGGAAAAATATGGATGTTGTAATGAGTATTATGTTTGTTTCCATTATAAGAGCACTAGGTCTGGAAAATGTGAACTTTTTAGTACCAAAATTATTGGTTTATGACATGTATGCTTTGAAGTAGACTTCCTTTAATTTTTGTGTTTAGGTCCAACTCTTTAAACTTACTTTTTGTATGTGAATATGAAACTTAGTGTCTGTTTGCAACTGCTTTTAAAAAAGCACTTCTCAGCTTTTGGCTTTAAAAAAGCACTTATTTTCCCAAACACTACAACTTTTATTTTTCTCGGCTTCCGCGTCAAAAGTGCTTTTACTTTTTTCTATTACACAAAAAGCGCGCTTATTTTACCAAAAACTACCCACTTTTACTTTTCAAAATCACTTTTTTCTCTAACACTATCAACTTTTATTTAATCACTTCTCCCCATTTCATAAAAAAAAAGCACTTTTTAAAAGCAGAAGCTATTGCAAACAGACCCTTAATCAAATCGTTATTGTCGATTGTCAAATCGATACAATCATCAGTAGGGATGGCAATTGTGGCCGAACCGATAGATACCCGCACCGAACCGCCCCAGTCAAAACGGGGAAAACCGCATTGACTGGGTAATGGGTACGGGGCGGGGAATACCCATTTTGTTTTTATGGGTAACGGGGCGGTTACGGTTTTATACATGCCCACCCCGTACCCGCCCCGTTTACTTTTGGCTATATTTTTGTTATTTTTTATCTATTATTTGTCACACAATTACTAAAAGATAAGATTTTTCTATTTACATTTTGTGTATATGAATAATAGATGTACTAACTATAGTGTATGAATAAAAGTTCATAACAAATCTTAATAGTCTTGTTTGATTATTATCATATTGTTTTGTGATTCTTATTAAGTATTTTTAGGTTCAAATTAATTTAAGTTATCTTCCTTCTCGTCTTATAAATATACAAAACTTTAAAGTGGCGTATGAGTTTAAAGTCATCTAGGAGATACCATTTCCGCCTTTTAAAATATAATTTTTATATTAAAATATCAATGATTTATTTAATAAAGCAATTACCCGGGGTTACCCGGGGTTACCCGCGGTTATACCCGTTACCCGTTGGGACGGTTATGGTTAGGGTAAAAATTACCCGTTGGGTAATGGGGCGGTTACAGGGCGGGGGAATTACCCAACGAGGCGGGTAAGGTTATATGTAAAACCGTCCCCGATCCGCCCCGTTGCCATATATAATCATCACTTGTTACAGAAGTTGGAATTTTAGGCCTCTTTCGGTTGAGGTGCTTTCGGGACAAATTTTTTGATAAAATTTTGTGAACAGGTTCTATATGAAATGTATGTTATGTCTACCAAATTTCAGGTTAAAATGTAAATTGAAAAGTGAGTTAAATAAATTTTTAAAAAATGGGCAGTTTTTTGTACATAGAACATGGATTTTTTTTCAATAATTTATTTAATTGACTTTCCCGTTGAATTTTAAGCTGAAATTTGGTGGACATATCTTACACTTCATGGAGGACATGCTCACAAAATTTCATCAAAAAATTCAACCCGGAAGCACCTCAATAAAAAGAGGCCTAAAACTTGTACTTGTAACTTTTAGATCTACCTTACATGAACACTACTCATAAGAGTATAATGTGTCGATTGTTCTTCCCTTGGGATTTTGATTTTTTCAATTTTTAATTAACACTTTTATCAGCAAATTATGACAATGTGAAGGTATATATGTGGGATTCTGAATATGAAAGATTTGATTATTCATTTAAGACAATAATTAGTATAGAAATGGAAGGCTTGAACTAACTTACTCCAAGTAAAGCTAATTATATTGGTTTAGAAAATTTTCAATGTTGAAAATTCTTAAGAATTATCAACCGGTAAGCAATTCTTAATAATTTTAATGGATTAGTAATAATACGAAGTACGAAGTATTAAGCAATTGGGATGAATGTCGAAATAGATTGATTTTGCTTCTGTCATTGGTGACTGCAATTCACAATGCTCCGAGAAATGTTTACATGTTATACTAGCACAGTACACGTGCATACGCACGGGAAAAACAGTTGGTCCATATATATGTTGTTCACGATTTTATAAAATATGATTTTTTTTTCAATTTTACATCGTTTTAAAAATGGATTAAAATAAGTGAATATCAAAAAGTATAAACTCGTAGAACAAATATTTAAAGTAAAACAAAATTAAAGTAAAAAAATTGACACCATCCATTAAAATTTGCTACGTAATAATATTGTTAGTGTTTGTAACGGATAATGAAATATATTGAACTTAATTGTCCGAGTTTTGAAAACTACCTTAAAGAGAACTTTAAGTGATAACGTCTAATGATTTTATTCCCTAATCATGTATTAAAATAATCATTTCATGTTTTCACCCTTGATAATGCCACATATATAAAGCTTTATATAACTATTAAGTTTAGAGATAGATATTTATTGATTTTCATAACATATTACATATATGACAATGATAGGAAAATGTCTTCCCATAAGTTCAAAAGGATATGACAGAGAAAAATCAGAAAATATCAAAAAGGAAATTCTCCTGATCAATTATTAATTTGCTTATCTTATACCTAAAGCACTAATATGAGGGCAATTTTCCCGCTTATTTTATTTATTATACCTAAAAGCACTACACATGAGAGGAAAAATTCCGCTTAGTTATTACTACGTTTATCTTCTTATACCTAAAATCACTACGTATGATAGAGAAAAATTTTCCGCTCAATTAGTAGTCCACTTATCTTGTACTTAAAGCACTACATGTGAGAGTGAAATTCTTCTGCTCAATTATTAGTTCTCTTATCTTATACATAAAAAACCACATGTGACTATGTGAGAAAGAAAATTCTCTCTCTCAATTATTAGTCCACTTAGCTTCTTATAATTAAAAGCGTTGAATATGAGATAGAAACTTTTCCCGCTCAATTATTAGTCCGCTTATCTTGTACAAAAAAACATTACACATGATTGAGAAAGTTCTCTTGCTCAACTATGAGTCCGCTTATTGTATACCTAAAAAGTACTACATATGAGACAGAAAATTCTCCCGCTCAATTATGAGTTCGCTTATCATTCACAATTATTAGTCCGCTTATCTTCTTATAATTAAAAGCACTGCATATGAGATAGAAACTTTTCCCGCCTAATTATTAGTCCGCTTATCTTGTACAAAAAAAGCATTACACATGATTGAGAAAGTTCTCTCGCTCAATTATGAGTCCGCTTATTGTATACCTAAAAAGTACTACATATGAGACATACATATGAGACAGAAATGTATATATATATATATATATATATATATATATATATATATATATATATCACAATTTACAATTTTTTATTATCATTCATACACCAATATTATTAGTCCGTTTATCTTCCTATAACTAAAAACACTACATATGAGATTTAAAATTTTTCCACTCAATTATTAATTTGCTCATCTTCTTATAACTAAAAGCACTACATATGAGATAGAAAATTTTTCCACTCAATTATTAGTAGAACAAAAAAGCATTACACATGATAGAGAAAATTATCTCGTTCAATTATTAGTCCGCTTATCGTATATGGGCTACAAAATACTAATAATCCAGCCCAAAATACTATTAATCCAGCATGGGCTACATGGGCCCCCAGTAGTTTACCGGATAAATTTATAAGTCGGGCATTCCCCGCCCACCAAGCGAAACCCGTGGTTTCTTGATCCCGACCAGTAAAGTCTAAAGTTCGATTAAAGAGCGTTTCCACGTGGTAGAACCTCCTCAGGGAATATAAGGTTTTCATGAGGCTGATCTTGAGCGGCCATCCAAGCACGAATACCTTCATTTAATAGAATATTTTTTGTGTAGAAAGTTTCAAATTCGGGATCTTCTGCTGCCCTAATTTCTTGAGAAACAAAATCATAGGCACGTAGGTTCAGGGCTAGGCCAACTACTCCCAGAGAACTCATCCATAAACCGGTTACGGGTACAAATAACATAAAGAAATGTAACCAACGTTTATTTGAAAAAGCAACCCCGAATATTTGGGACCAAAATCTATTAGCAGTAACCATTGAATAAGTTTCTTCAGATTGAGTTGGGTTAAAAGCGCGAAATGTATTTGCGCCATCGCCGTCTTCAAATAAAGTATTTTCCACGGTAGCACCATGAATAGATACTTCAATCTGAAGGAATAAAAATAGAACTTAAGCGGTCTAGAACGAGTCAATGGAAATTTTGGTTAAGAGGGAATTCTCAATACGATTTATCTCCTAATTTCTGGTCTGCCTTAAGATCACAAAAACAAAAATGGAGAAATAGGGCGAATCGCTATCGTAGGTCTAAACAAAAAGATTTACACAAAAGGAATTCCAGTAGAAAATTAAAATTAAATAATTATAGGAAACAAAAGGATGCTAACTCAGTATTTAATAAAAAAAAAATAATTTTAAAAAATGCTGTCAATATGATCTTTTTCCCGCTCAATTATTAGTCTGATTACCTTATGCTTAAAAAGGACTACATATAAGAGAGAAAATTCTCTCGTTCAATTAATAGTCCGCTTTTATATTATATATAAAAGCATTATTATACATATATGACAGGAGAAATTTGTCTGTCCAATTCTTAGTCGGTTAATCTTATACCTAAAAATGCCCCCGTTTAATTATTAGTGTGCTGATCTAGTTACTCTAAAAGTACTACATATTAGAGAGAAAAGTATTCCGCTCAATTATTAGTCGATTTATGAAGTTCTGACTGAAGTGAATGCATACATTGACTGATTTAAGAAAAAATTATTTTTAAAATATACTCCCTCCGTCCCGTAAACAACATCTAACTTTTCTTTTTGGGCAGTCGCGAAATTAACTTCCCACTTCTTCCCACTTCCTTATTTGGCAAATTCTTTGCATTAAAACAGTGTCAAACAATGTCAAACAGTGTCTAAACAGTGTTCAAACAGTGTCAAAACAGTAAAATTTACCCCCAGTAAATTTCTTTCCTTAATATGTGTGAAGTCAAACTGTGAAGTCGATTACGGGACAGAGGGAGTATTTTATTAATAAAATTAAAGAAAAAATTATATAAAAATAGCTAGAATGATTA